ATCATTTGTTTTTTGTTTGTAGAGAAAAAGAGTTATGTGATGTATTCTTGAATTGCTTCAGTTTGTTTGTTAGTATATATTACTTTAAGAGTTTTTTTGTGGATGTTTTGGATATTGGTGAGTTTATCTGTCCAAAGTGTAATTTACTTGTAGTCACCTGATGCTTCAGAAGTTTCGATTGTGATATTGTATTTGTTTTTTATTTTTTTAATTTTTAAGCAAATTTTTTTCATGATTGACATATTTGTTTCTATGTTGTGGAAGAGTTTATGTCTTAAGTTTTTGAGCTTGGAAATTTGTCATAGAAGGTTATGTTGTGATCTGGATGGTTTAGGCCCTGGTTTTTTTTCCTTATACTTTTGAATGTGTTTTGAGGATGCTTGCAAGATTGCATCTCTGAGGATGTTTTACTTTCTATTTGCTGTATTTTTGTTGCTACATGTATTTGGCCAGCTTGATTGTATCTGGTTCTCTATTTCTTGTTTCCATTCCTCCCATTTCTCATTTTTTGTTTCATTCCATCTGTATCTAGTATTGGATTGGATTCTGATGTTGTTTCTGTTATCTATGTTGGTATGCCAGTATTAGATTTTGGCATGGATTGCATAATGATCTGTTTCAAGGGTTTCTTGATCTACTGTTTCGATAAATGCTTTTGTGTTTGACCAGAAGATTAATGGAGACATTCATATCTAATCGATTCTGCTTTTGATTTCGTTTGCATTTTCCCATGTATGCTATGTGCTATATGGATTGTTTTCTCTAAAAGTATTGATGAATTGGTTTGTGATTAAGTATTGTATTATTTCTCCAATTGATGAATATCTTTTGTTGTTTGAAAAGATGGAGTTGGGCATGTCGATGCTTGGATTTGCAACTATGTTGAAATCTCCCATGATTAGGATGTGTGCCTGTTGTGTAAGTGCTTCATTAATAATTCATTTGAGTTTTGTTATGCATTGTTGGTATTTCAGGTGTGATGCTGCTGGTAGATAGGTTGCTATGATTTTGAGTTTTCATTTGTGTTTGAAGAAAAAATCAATGCTAATGATTCTGTCTTCCCAGCTGTATTTTTTGAAGATATGTTTGGCGAGTTGATTTTTGATAACTAAGCAAGTGCCAAAGCCCTTGATTTGTTTACTATTCCCTGTCCAGATTAATGTGTATTCTGAAATTTTAATATATTGTTCTTTTTTGATCCATAGATTAGTCTCTATTAATGTAATAATGTTCACTTTTGATTTTGTGATCCAATCTATCCACAGATTTATTTTGAGTGAATTAGATTTCAGACCTCTAGTATTTACTATTATGGCATGCCATTCTTGTGATTCTATAGGTATTAGTTCTTGTGGTACTGTTGATACTTGTTGGATGTTGTGAGGTGTACTGGTTGTAGTTTTTGTTGGTATTTGTTCAATTGGAATTTCATTGTTGGAGTAGTTTCTCGTTTCTATTGTTGATACTGTTGTGTCATCAGTAGATGTTTCAGAATCTGATTATATTAGGATGTTTTCTATTTGTTCGTTTGTTAAGAGATTCGTTTCACTGGTGGAAGGGTCCTCCAAATCAGGAGTATTTCTACTGTTCGTATTTTCCATTAATATTCAGATGGATGATTGGTTGAGATGGAATTTTGGCTAAAGTATCAATTGTCGCTATTATTTAGTTCATGCTTTCTTGTATTCCATCAAGCGATGCGAAAAGTTGTGTTTGTCGATTTTTAATGTCATTGATGTTGTTTTCCTGTATTGTCTAAGATTTTTGATAGGGGATTTTTTTTCTCTGGGTTCTTCGATCTGTTCACTTTCTATTGATTTGTAATATTCTTCATTGTAACATTCTAGGTTGGTAATGCGTTCATTGAGTTCTGTGATTTTTTCTTTCACTTCTGTTAGATCTTTTTGTACTTGTCTTAATATTTCAATGATTTCTGTTATGGAATTGGAGTTGTTTTCTTTTTGTTGAATTTGGGTCTTAAGGGCATTTGCATTCAATCCGGCTCTGGTTTGTTCCTGGGGTTTGGGTCTATTGATATTGTGAATATTGTCTGTCTTGACAGGTCTGAATTTGTTATAAATTGCTTCAAATTTTGATGCTTGTTCTTGATAGTATTCTTGCTATTGTTACTGGCATTGTTTGATTGGATAGTCTTTGGCCAGATAACTTATTGAATTGCATATTGCACACAATTTGGTGGTGATTGGTGTGAAAGTTAGTTCTGTTTCTCCTAAGATATATTTGTTTTGGACTGCTTCTAGGAGGTCTTCCTGTATTTCAAAATTGATTACTGCAAAATGTCTGACTCTGTAGTATGTGGTTGCTGTTCTGGAGATATAGCATGTAAAGATGGGTCCCTAAATTATTTGTGAGGACATAATTCAAATGTCCCTTATTATTAAAAATTTTCATTTCTATATTAAGAAATAAAAAAAAACTATCTATAAAGGTTCTTTATAGTTTTAAGTATCTATACAAATCATTTCTAGAATTATGTTCCTATTGAAATAAAGAGCTAAGAATTATGTCCTCTAGGGGACATGGACGTAAAGGGACGTAAATTTTATATGCTAAATACTTTAGTGACCTATCTTTAATAGTATGTATGACCCTTGCATTGCATTAGAATATTTTTGAGATTCCATGCTATTGTGTTAGGAGGCAAGTTGGTTAATTTTGCTGCGATTTCATGTTTTTCCTTCATTTGGCCAATGAACCATTCTGTATCATTAATTCTGATAGAGTCTCCTTTGATTAAGATATTTCTTTTCTCGATTAGGTTCTCTTTGGTTGAAGGTTATTGTAGTATATTGCTATAGGTTCTGGATACTTACAGTGACTTCTATAATTTCCTCGAATTTGGAAAATACATATTTAATCTCAATGAGTTTTGTGTTTAGGGGGATGTCACAAATCATAATAAAGTTTCCTTTGTTAATATCTTGGCATCTGATTTTCATATATCTAAGCTTGTGACCATTCATTTCAGGAATATCTATGGAGGTTGCATAATCTGCTGCTTGTTGATCACCGAAAATGGCAATGATTTTCATGTTTTCATTTTTTCCTTCGCTGCGAACTGCCAGAAGTCCTTCAGGTAAGTTGAGTGCAAGTAGAATGTGTTTGATTTTTTGATTGCTAGTTCTTCCTTTGACTAGGTCAGCGTCAATTCCAACTTTGTATCTTTTTCTTTCATATCTGATTGCTCTGTCGAATGGGGATCTTGGTTTTGATTTGTCATATTATTCAGTTGATTTCTTTCCTTTGCTAATAGTGAACCAGCTATTGCCAGAATTGTTGTCAGTTGTGTTGTCCATTTCTTCATCAGTGTCATCGATTCTTATATGTTTATAATGACTTGGTCCTCTTGTACTTTCCTGTTGATTGGTTTGACTGTGTTCCAGAAAAAGAGGTTGTTGCTCTTCAATTCTCTCTGATTCTACTATTTTACTTCAAGAGGAAGTGGTACCTGTTGAGTTTTGGCTTTTCTGTTCTGGTTGTATTTCTGTTGTCTAGACTGGGGGGTTGGTTGACTTTTCTATTTGGTAGGTTTGGTTGTTGTTATTGTTGTTCGATTGGTCTTGCTTGTTTGTTGGTTGTATTTTGCTGGTTGTGTTGGTGGGTTTCTTTGCGTATAGTTGGCTTCTGAATGGAGTGGTTCCTGTTCTCTTTTCGTATATTAAGGTTCTTTCAGAAATATTATTTCTTGGTGTTATTGGAGCTTTTGAGTTTACAGTTCTGTCTGTTATCTTTCAATTAATTGTGTTGGTTACTGCATCACACATGAATAGGAAAGAGTGTTGATTGATTTGTGTTTTATTTATAAAAATATATTTATAAAAATTAATTAATAATTAATAGAAACAAATTTGAATGACAGTTTAATTATAATAAGCTATAACATATATTTCATATGTAAAAAAACTACATTATATATTTCATAAGTAAAAAAACTTTATAAAAATATAATATACTGTATAAGAGATCAGATCCTGAATTTAATTAATTCATAAAAATTATTACAAAAAAATTTATAATAAAATCTAATGCTATTTAATATAATAATAATATATTTTTTTAAAAAAACAAATTTTTACAAGTCTTTTAAATCAAAGCTTATCAAATTTTCAACTTTATTTATAATTAAAATGAATCAATACAACAACAATTATAAATACCATCACTATACAGTATATAAGTACTATTATTGACTCAATTAATCTTAAAATATTTGAAGAATCTATGCAAAAATTTAATATACTCAAAATTTTCATTATCTTATTTAGTAATCTATTAATAAACTGTTTTTACCAAATTCTTATTGATTAATAAAACAATATAACGAATAATTGTTCCAGATAAAACAATTAAGAAAAAATATTATGACATTATTTTTTGAATCCCCTTATAATACTATTTTATAACAATAATTATAATTTGCAACCAATGAAATTGTAATTAGGCTTAACCTACTAATAACATTCAAAAAAACTATAAACTATTTAAATATTACAACTGAATTCTTTCAAATCAACAAAACACAAGCAAATTCTCGGAAAAAAATTAATTATCATTAACAGTGATTTTCACTAAAAAACAATTAAACAAACCACTAATAATTAAACCATTATTTAAATAAGAACTGATTGTACATTAGAAACTCGGATCTCAAAAAATCAAAATTTTAAATACAATTATAATCACCAACACCTTCAAATTCAAATATATTACTGGTTCAATGGCTTTTTATATTAATAAAGTTCTTGTTCCATAATAGAATTCAAATCACAAGCCACCGTTTAATCAATAATATGGTCAAACAAATTTAAAGAAAAAATAAGTTTAACAATCAAATACATTCAATATTGAAAATATTCTTTCTTAAAGCTGGTTATACTGTATAATCCCGACACATACTTATAATCTCAACCCTCAATACAATGCAATTTTCCAAGCATTAGCAAATCTCCAAACACTTCATTGCTTTCCTCTTCCGTTATTTAAACCTCATTTTCCTTATAGGTCTCGTCATTACGCCTTTTGGAATTAATCATAAAAAGAAAGATATGCTCTCCAACATTTTTACATTTATCATGTTCTTTCTCCACAAGGCCTTTCTTCAGCATAGTTGTTGAATAACCCTCGATCCCTTTCTTATGGCTAATAATTAATTGCTTATCGTGGATGAGAATAATTGGTTCTGTGATCAAGAACGAGTCTGCAAATTCAGAATTCTGCATATTGTGGTAGGCAATGCACTCTGGTGTAGGCTGTGTCTTAATACGATTAACAAAATCATCCCAGTTTTTTTCATTGATCTGTTTGTCTGTTGAACGGACAGTAAATACAGGTGAAAACTTGAGTGAAATATCTTTCTGACCATTCCTCAGTGGAACAAGCTGGGAAAGTCGGCAACTACATGAATTAGTGATGTTATTGATATTATCTGAACCGGATTTCTGGTAGATCGCCCATAAACGAAACGTAAGTACTGAAATAGTAAATTTCTCATTTTGATTCAGTGAAATATCATTGTCCAAGGAATCGAGAATTCTAATAGATGGAAGCTTGTAAAAAGTGAGGAATGGAAGTTTGATCCTCTTAATATAACTATTTTCGATTCCCTCGAAAAAAATAAGCCCCTCCTTCTCTAAGTCCTGCAAAGATAATACAAGTTAGAGTATTTAGAATTAATATAATTATTAAGATTTTAAATGTTGCTTACTTCAGCTTTGCGCTTCTTTTTAATAACAATTGTGTCTAACCGTGAAATACGCCATTCGAACAAACTATATGCCACCAAGTGGGGAATTAATTCCAGGTTATCTTCTGATAGAAAGTGATCAAAGTAGCCTTGATACTTCTCATTAATGTGTTTTTTTGTTCTTATGAGAAGTTCATCACAATATTCTGATCCATATTGACATTTTTCTAAGTAGTAACGTAATCCACTTTGGTAAAATTTGTCAATAATATATGTGTCTTCGTTATTAGCAACATTAGATCCAATAATACTCATTTGGAATATCATAGCTTCGAGAAAACGGCCAACAACACCAAGAAGCCTAATTGCATATTTCGTATGCTCAGAGAGTTTGTTGATCCTATCAACGAAATATTAATTTCAGTAAAATTTTTGCCAAGTTACAAAAAAACGTAGCTCATGACAGATAGTCACCTTTTAGCTTTATCAACCACCTGACAAAGATATCAAATTAGATTAGCTAAGCATCGACTACAGTAACAGTAAACATCAATAATAAAATTAATACTCGCCCCCCGGTTGGCTAACTCAAGCAAAACCTCTTCAGCGTGCTTGAACTTTAGCAGTGGTAAATCTATATTATCAGTTTTCAAACAACATGACTTGACTAGATTATACAGATCATTCGCATGAGTTCCTGTTAAAACGACAAAGAGAAAAAACCTATATGCTCTATTCGTGATGACCCTTGCAAGAGATTTAAGAACTTCCCGAAGCCGGTAACCATGTTCTGATTCAAACAATACATTTGTTTCATCGATGTTGATAATAAAGAGAGGATATTCAATATTCCCATCCAAACATGGGATGTAATGTAGAATTACTTTAAGAATATCCTCAAGTATAACATCACTTCCCAACATTTTGATAAACACATTAAGAGAGAAACTTTCATTGCAAAAGCAATTACAAAGTGATCAAGTAAGTATAATGATATCACAACAAGCGTTAGCAAAAGGATATATGTGAGAGACTTACTTCAAACGATATTTCAAGGCTTCATATAGCAGAACTTTTCCAAAAAGCGACCCATAATTATTTTCTGAATACATTGCTCCTGAAATAGTATCACATGCAATTCGAAAGGTCCGACCTGATTCTCGACATTCTTCCACTGCATTCATAACATCGGAACTGACAACACCAGAATAAATGCCTTATTTTTCATATGCTCGTCGAGAAAATGTAGTTTTTCCTATTCCAGACGTCCCTACAGCTGTAGGGAACCTTATTTCCTTTTTGGGTTCTGAAAATTCGTCGCAATTTTTAACAAGGTAATGCAACTCTTCCATGTTAATCATTAACTGTTTGACCTCTTTTTCACGGTCCACAAACTCAAGATAAGTCGAAATGTTTGCAAGGCCGTTCGGAATATTGATGTTTGAAAGTGATTTATGAGGTGGGTCTGGTGATTCATCAATAAATGGATCAAGAATATTTATGATGTCACCATAGGATAGCCGAGTTAGATGCGCTAATATGTGCAATGACGGTGAGATAAATTGTGTAAGTTTGGTATATTAAATGCATTGTTTTGAGCACCTCTAGTTATAAAGAAAGATACCTTGTGGAATGCCTCGCTGGTAAGGACCTGATTTAACACGAAAAAAGAGATCAGACCAAACTCGATATTTTGTTACTGCAAATTTCTTGTTCGAAATGTAAGACACTTACCAATAGTGGCGGGCGATGGTGGTTGCACGATGATACGAATGTTCTTCAAGTCACTATACGCAAAAATGTCACCAAAATCATCAAATGGGGTCAGCCGTTTTCCTCCAAGATTTTGTATAATAATATTTTCATCTGCAATGTCACTTCTGCTTTCAAGTGGTTCCAATTTTTTAACGTTTTCTGCATCGCCAGGAATATTTACTTCCCATATATTCAATTTGTTGGCGTCAATACCCTCGTTTTTAAAGTTGTTCTTTCTCTTCTCGTGGATTTTTTTCCTTAGTTCTGAAATACTCATTCCTGCCCGGCCTTCAACTTGAAAGACGTGCTCAGCTTTAGTACCCACCTCAAAACAAAATACCATGATACCAGTGGTATACCTGCAAACGCAAAATCGAGAGTTAAATCGGGATTTAAAATATATTTTTTCAGTAAATACTAATAATAACCTTGTTAAAGGACTACCTAGAGAACTATATGAGTTTATTTTTAATTTTTCAGTGAATGTTTCAAAAAACTTACGTACGTACTAAGTTTATACCAGCCCCACACTTATTCATTATTACGTCACGATCTTCTGTTCTTCTGTGTAATATAAGAATTTTTTTCTTACTGCGGCCACCAAAGCCGTTATATTATTTTCTTCGAGTCAACTTGTTGAAGTATCGCAGATTAAAAGAGGCGTTAGGCTCGCAAGCGAATGTCATTATTCGTACAAACTTCTAAGGACCTTACATTACGGCGGGCTTACTATAGCTGACAATATACTGTATATACTGTATATATTATCCAGTATATTGATGATTGGGATAATGAAACCGAACCATGGAGTGGTATTTCATCATCTATACTTCCGATGGAATATATGCTACGAGTTATAGCGAGCATCAGATAATTTTTTTAAAGACCTCAATCAAAGAAAATCTCGGTGTTCTACGGAGCAGTGCGAAAAATGTTATAGGAATCATTGTTGGGCTGTTGAAGGATCGGATAACAGTCGATAACTCTACTAAAAATAGATAATTATATTTTTATTACGAAGTTCCGTTTTCATATGACTAATTGAATGATCACATTTTATATAAAAATAACAGATACCAGTAGACAAATCTAAAGATTCATCTACAATTGTTTCGCTAAGAAAATTAAATACAAAGCTTACAGTTGAGATTAGCGAACTTAGAAAGAAGTGCACTGAGGTCGAGGCTAAAAGGGCTGAGCTTGAGGCCAAGAATACTTAGCTTTTAAAACAGATCAAGGATGAGGTAGAAAATAAAATAGATACTGCTAACCTTAAAGTCGAAAATAATGAATTTAGAGCCAAAGTTGCGAAATTGGAACAGAAGCAGTCGCAAAATGATAGTGTGGATAAATTATAAGATAGAAACATATTGCTAGATTAGATGATACCAGGGAAATCAAACAGATAATTTCACTTGTTCCAAAAGAACAATCTTAGTCTATATGAATGCTTCTTTGCAGAATGAATTCTGATGATACTTCTAAACAGATAATTTCATAAAGAGTGATACAGTATCTGGTATATCTGATAATGTTTCAAATTCTATTGTATTTCAAGAAGTAATGAAGTCTATAGTTTCCGATACAACTATTCACACGGAGATTAAATCATTGCAGGATAAGGAAATGGATGATTTCGCAATATACGTATAAGGAACATGTTAATAATATAGAGCATTAGGGAAAGAAACTTTGGGATCAAGAGTTGCTCTCATCTCTTAAGAATAGTACTACTGATATTCACGTGAGCAAGATAATACAAGAAATATCTATACGTATCCATTAAAAATCAGAGAATTTCATCTTGGTTAAATCATGTGACTAAAATTTCGCAAACGATATACGATAGGAATTTATTCTACAGTAAGATGATAATGATAATTAAAATGACTTACAGCATATCTAACTACTTATCAATGATTTGGATTCACTTTAAAATTTTGTGATCGTGTTCTTCGAAAACTTACAGCCTGGTTTATCCTTATTTTTGATGGTTTGAATCGTAAAAAACCTTTTTTTTGATGATTCGTTGCATAAATTGCTTATCGAGGTGAAACATAGAAACAATAGAAATATCGAACGGTGGGGTTTTAATTTTTTAATAAAATATTAAATCCATTCTAGCGGATATTGATATCTCCCTTCGCTAAAGCGCAACTTGCATAAAAGCAATTTCGATATGATATTCTCATTTTTCCGGTTGGATCTATATCCTGGTCATATCAATCTAATTCTTTTAATCGGAATTTTAATCGTTTCTTGGTCTCTCAAATTATTGTGTTGATGCGTCAAAGTATGATTTAACTGCTGTAACATTCGACAGAAGACCTTTAGAGATCGACAGGACGGATGTACCAAAACAAATTATAATTGGAAGTTCTTAGGAGGTGATGATTTTGATTTACGGTAACAAAGATTTTCAAAGATCTAATTAATAAACATTCGCCATCAGGATCTAGTCATGTCAGGCCAATGTTAGAAATTGGCAAAATATTAACAGAACGTGAAATAAATTGACACTATTTGTCGATCGAGTCAATCAATGCGTCGAAAGTTATGTTTGACTAATTTCACTCTCGCCGTTCACATGACCCTTACCTCATACTCAGCAGGAATGAAAAAACGTAATAACAATTTGTCTTCCTAATTTCGTTGTTATAAAGGTAACATTGGTGGCGCCCGGGAATATTTTACCATCTAAAGAATATCCTTCGATCAGTCAAATATCCACAGGTCCCACCATCGACTACATAGAAGAACCAATTTACCAACAAATATTTAACCTTCGGAAAGTTTTCGACAAAATTACATTTCACATTTCAATGTTTATAAACACGTCATAGAAACCTTGAATGCAGACTTATTCATTTGCGACGTACTGATGAATGATGTTTGTTTGGATGTCGCTTGGATAAATAATAGATTTGGAGAGGGATTATTGGGTGAGTAGTGCTGACATCTTTTGCGTACTCTGATTGGGTTTGTTCATAAATTTTGACTTACGTAATTTGTTAAATTCATATCGTCCCTTAAAAAATCCAGCATCTACATTTATCTCCTACAGGCGGAGGTTTTATAAATGTCATGTAAATATGGAAAACGAATCTTTCTTGAACAGGTTCAGATGTGCTATAATTGAACCTGTGCGATTCGCATTTGGGATGTGGTCAATAAACGAAGATTTGAATAAGATTTGGGCTCAGACTGGCGTGGATACTGTCATCAATACTTACGAGATAATCAAGAATTCTTTGTTTTTGGTCAATACTTTTTTCGGATTTGAGGTGTGATTTCCTTTTTTTTTTTTTTTTTAATCTGCATGAAGGGTTTTACGGTTTGTCTACAAACTCATCCGTGTGAAAACTTTAGGTGCCACACCCAATGTCTCCACTTATTCAGGTATTTTATGAGATGTTTAAGTTTTCCTTGAGAAAAAAAACCAACTCTAAGTTCTGTTACAAAATTTAGGAAATAGGACCGGTGATGCAAGATGAATACCCAATTCTTACGCCAAATCTCTTATCATTTGTTTCCACTCACAAAAAATTCTATACGTCTCCATTAGTGATGAATTGTATACTTCCTCGGAAAATAATGTTATTCTCTTACAAACATGCACGGAGGCCATTCAACAAAAATCATAATTTGATGAGATTCTCCTCAAAACCATTACTCTTTCCGATGGGGCATCACTTTTCTACCACCGGAATTTTATCCAACCAACACCCTGACATTCTGGTCTCCAGATTCACCTCACAATTTTCAGTACTGAACCACACAAATGTTAAGGTATTTTTGAGTTCTGGTGGATACATGAATTCATATGAAGCCTTGTATACTGGAACACCAATGTTGGTTACGCCAATTGAATTTAGATATTTAATAATGCTGAGAAGTTGGAAAGATTGGGTGTGGGTTTGACAATTAATAGATTAAATTTAGATGTGAAAGATATCTTGAGTAATATTAAGTTATTGCTCGCGGATCAAAGTATACAGAATAATCTAAAGAAGACAAAAGTATTAGCAAGGATTAATAGCAAAAGAAAATATAGAGCAGCATATTTGATTGAATATGTAATGCGTGCACTGACATTAAATCTTAATTATAGTTTGGATGTTGATGGGGGCGAGATCGGAGGTGGGAGAAATAACGAAGGGTTATTAAAAGAGTGGACTGCTCCAGAGATGAGGATGGGTTTGTTTAGAGGAAAATATTTTGATATTTATCTAAGTTTTTGGATGGGATAACGATTGTGACATTTGTAATTATGAGAATTTTTTTTTTGAAATGTTGCTGTTAAGCACCATTAGGCTGATCAATAATTTTCCCTTTTTAATATGAAGCATCACTAATAATACTGTACATTCAAGGACGTGTGTGTGTCATAGAACTATTTTTTTCCGAGATTCATTTATTCATTGCATTTTTATATTAACCTCGAATTTTTGTTGTTTTATACTGCGTACATTTTCGGATTGTTGTATATCAAAACGAGATAATTATATACAGTACAGTATATCCCACCGTCATCTCAGTTAATGAGGATGGAAGCATAAAGAAAAAGTAAATAATACATTCTTTTTTATTTAATCTAGTCTTCTATAATCGATATCATTTAATACTTGCGATATATAGTGTACGGGGAAAGTAAGACCCGACGTCTGTCATGTATCCAATCGTCGTGGAGTTTAAATCTGTTCTTGCCATTAATGCCATGGTTATAAAATACAAGGGAAAGAGGAAGGGATTGTCGTTAGATTCTGTAATTTAATGAAAAACGTGTAATTGAGATTACGGAAAAGAAAAACTTGGTCAAGTTAAAACTGCCTCTTAATTATTAAATTTGACTAACCTTAATGATGGTTATGCGAACATCTGCTATATATTTTATAGTTAATAGTTCTTATAAAGCTTTTATATTTTCTACATCGGATATAAATTTTAAAAAACAAATAAAAATAAGTTTAATAAAATACGGTATGTAGTAATTATTGAATTTAATGTTATTCATCTTATGTTAATTTTTTTGATATATTTTTTAGTAACAGATTTAATATTTAATTCTAATAGTCCAGTATAAATAAAATAAGCATGTTGCAAAATATCAATAATTAAATTGAAATAAAAAAAAAATCAGATATATAATCAATTGAACTTTTAAAAAATTTCAATATTATATCAAATCGTTATTCCAATCAAATAGATTTTTTTTAAAAAATTATACAGTATTATTATGATATTTCGATATTGACTTTTTATAATATATTTTCGTACATTCTATATTACAATTGCTACGTATTAAATCGTTTGTCAAATAATAATATAATGTTATGGAATTTATTAATGATATTTTTTAATTATTATTAAATTACAAAATTATAATCATCAAAATTAATTTCTTAATACTGTATAATATTATTTTATTCTATTTTATTATATGTTACAACATAGATTTTTAAAAAAAAACAAAAAATTCTAATAATTAAACAACTTGCAAAAATACTTTTTTTTTTTGATAATCGTAATAATTAAACTTTATTATTCATAAAATTAATTAGATCATGTTTTTTAATTATTACTTTATTTACTCATGATTTATTTATAATATCAATTTGAAATTATTTTAATTTGATATACAGTATCATTTAATTTAATTGTCTGATTTTTTTTTTAAAAATATTAATACGATAATAAGAAAATACTACATTATCTTGTTTTTATATATTTTAATCATAAATAGTAAATATTTATTAATGAATATTAAAATTTTTTAAGTAATAAATATTTTATAAAAAATTCTTTAATGTAGTATTTTATTTTAAATGACCAATAAAATATTTTAATATATGTAATAAAAATCTTCTACAGCATGTATACAGTATTTGTATTTGTGTAACGTTTTACCATATACGTAATATTACAGTAGCAGGAAATCCAAGCTTAAAGAAATCAAATATAAAACCTTGTCCCGAATGTAAAAAACCTTACCTATTTGAATGGTGCGAGTCATGTAATAGGAAACACTTTTGACAAGATTTTGAAAAATGGATAAGTGGAATTTATAAAATTGTATTGAAACAATAAAATATACTATATATACTAAAATCTCTAAATTTTTGATATAATTAATTGAGTTATTAAAAACATATAAAATAATTAAATTATAATGATAATATTTTTGAGAATTTTGAAATTGAAATAAATATATATTAGTTAATCTAATTAAAAAGAAAAAAAATAATATAATAATATCATTTTTTTAAAATTATATATCGATATTAAATATAAAACTTTATTTAAACAATAAATTTATTGTTATCATTAATAATTTTTACAATAAGATACAAATTAATTGTATCATTATAAAAATAAAATTATTTATATAAATTGATATCAAATAAATAAACTTATAGTAATAGTGTTTGCTATTATTAGCAAATATATTATTAATTAGAATAAAAACTTATAATAAAGTTAAATAAATAAACTTCTTTTTTATTTTTTGAAATTGTTAATCTTGTTTTTAATTAATTAATTAATTTACTTTTATTTTGATTAATAGATTTAACAAAACTATAATATACTGTAATTGACAAATTTGAATTTATTGTATAGTTACAAAAATAATATTTTTAATTAATTTCTATATTACTTTATTTGAAGTTTATACTACAATTATTTACTGTATATTACTCATAATACATTTGGATTCAACACCTATAATATGCCCATATAATGTTCATATTATGTCTTGATCTACTTTATTTATACCATTTTCCATGCTAACAATAGTTATAAATTTATAATTCAATATAATAATTTTATATTTTTTATATATAAATATAAAAAATTAATAATTATTCAAAGCAATACGTAGAATTTGAGGGAGATAACAAGTGAAAAGTGATTATTTTTTGCATTTTTAATGTCTGAAAATTTCTATATAAAAAATAAAATATTTTAAATTATTTAAATCGATTCATAATAAAAATAAAAAAAAATAATACTATATTTTAAATTATAATATTTTAAATTATATAGTTAATTTAAAATTATTGTAAGAATATTAATTATATATAAAAATTTAATTAATAAAAAAAAAATAAGTTTAAAAAATTTAATCAAAACAATAAATACAGTATAGTATATAATAATTTAAAAAAAAAATCAATTTTTAGTTTAAATAATGCTTCGGACCCTAGTTTCAACATAAAAACAGAATAATTAGATGATTTTCAACAAGAATTTGTCTGTGTACTTAAATTTAAATTCAACTTCTTTAAGCGTTACGTAGTCTAGTCAATCAAGAGTTTATGTATGTGAATATAAGTTCATTTGACTTCTTGTTTTTTAATTCTTTAGTTAAAAAGGTAAAGATCAGATCATTAATTTTTCATAAGGTTTATATGGATCCTTTTTAATTCAGTTAAAGAATTTTTATTATCACTTATGCTATAAAGAAATTATTATTAAGAAACTTTATTATTTGCAAAAATGTAAAGAGGACAAAGAATAAAGATTGCTATTTATATCAATTCTGTTCGTTCTATGCTTGTAAGAATGTAAAATGAAAACCAAATTATTACTTTGAACATAGCGAAAATGGGTTTTTAATTAAGTCACAATACGTGTTTTCTTGCGGAATTATGTTTTTCTTTTCTAAAAACATAACATCAATATTTTATTTTCCGTCAATTATTATGTACTCTTGATTAACAATTCTTGTTAAAGATCGAATGCCAATATTTTATTAGGAACATTAACAAGAAACAATACCACTAGCTTCTTTTTGAATCTTTAAATTTAGACTCAATTTATTTTGAGTGTCGCATCAGAAGGTCTTATGTCGGTTATGAAAAACAAAAGGGAACCACAAAGCTATTAATGTTTGTGTAGTATGTCGGGTGTTGAATACAGAACCTGAAAATTTATGATTTTGTTATCAAAACTCCTTTTCGTTTTAATTTTATTTGTTTCTAATAAAATAATCCAAAGTCCACATCTCTGTAGAGAAACACTACATTTACTTTACTTCAATACTAAATTAAAAACAAGATTTTCTTCATTTCTTCAAAGTTAGTATCTCGTTCTTCAGCGAAGATACAAGTTCGTAAAGGATTGAAACGTTTTTAATCTCATCACTTGCTACACCATATCAAATATATAATTAGGTCAGATGCAACGAACTCGTCTAAAATTTCCACATGCCCATTCATGAACAGATACTTTCTCAAAAGTGCTATGTACGATTGGGTGGTGTCATGCGAAATTATGAACAAAAGCAATTAGGGCATCGAGTAGCTAATGTCCACAACGCGGCGTGCATGAAACGTTTATGTAATAATACCAATTTTTATTGTTGATTGCCATTCTGAGATTGGCACAGACTCGTCGTGTGTCCAAAGAAGAAATATCTCTGTACCTAATGTCTGTTACACAACGCGTGCATGAAACGTTACCAATTTTTATTGTTGATTGCCATTCTCAGACTCGTCGTGTGTCCAAAGAAGAAATATCTCTTTATCAATGTATTTCCTAATTTGATATGATACGCATGTTGTGATAATTTACTCAGGTTTTGCATACGGTACTAAAATTACGGTTATAAATTGCTTCTCGTATTAGTCTTTTGGGTATAGTGTACTGAGAATACGATTAGTTTAGTTTCTCAAGAGAAAATGAGTAATCTTGACTCCGTCGATTATGAAGAAAAAGACAACGAAATTGAGGTTGTTGTAGATGATTCCAAGAAAATGAGTAATCCTGACTCCGTCGATTATGAAGAAAAAAGACAACAAAATTAAGGTTGTAGATGATTCCGAGAACATGTCCTCGTATACAGACACGAAAATTAATCCACATGATGGAAAAAGTATTTCGGAAGCCGTTTGTTCACCAAATAGGGAATATATTGCAACCTTCAGTAAGGAAGATAAATCAATTGTCAGGTGGGAAATCAAGGAAGGACAGTCCAAACTCGAACCTGACCATTCAATTAATATCGGGGATGATTATGATTCGAGGACTCTGTTAGGGGTCTCGGATAAGTACATCTTATCTGAGAAGAATTACAAAATTAGTAAGATAATTTGATAAATGATATTACTTTGAATTATTAATCTTTTTAACATCTAATACATTCTATTACCGCAATAGAACTCATTGATCTAGAAACCGGATCGGAACAGAAATTATATGAAGGATGGTCTAATGAAACCTCCTTTCTTGAAAATGGAGATGTAGTAATCGTTAATAAAAGAACTGATAATCGGGTTTCTATATTTTCGAAATCAAATTCCAACAATGGACGCCAGTATAGATACAAGAGTAGCATTGAACTTACAAAATTTAAAAAATATGCTATTTCTAGAAAAGGAAAATTGCTGATTCTCTTAGATCTACCTTTTGTAATTATGCAATGGGATCTGGAAACCCTAATGTTTGAGGCACAATATGTACTGGATTTAGCTTTTAAAGAGTATTGTGAGAATCCCATACATATGGAGCTGAACGATGACAACACACTTCTCGCAGTAGCTGGAAGTAGAAAAAGAAAAGACCCCGATATAAACCCCGATATAGAAATTACGGATTTGGCTGTCTATGTTTATTCAACAAAATCTAGAACAATGATGACGAAAAGTAAGTACTTACTGATTAGGCAAAATATCAAGTGACCACAAATTACCACAATTTTAATATTTTAACACAATTTTATTTAATAGAATTATTTAAAAATTGTTATTACATCAAAAGGGTTAATTTTGATAAATATGGAGGAGAAAATTTAATCGTTAATTGTAGATATTTGTTGCTTGCAATGAATCCCTACAACCTTTCTAATATGAGAATTGTAAAAAAAATACCATTTAATCCTGATTCAAACTCATCGGATCCATTTAATCCTGAATCATACGATCCTAATTCATACGATCCTAATTCATACAATTCTGACTCAGACCCATCAGATCCACGTAATCCACGTCCTGAATCATTCAATATACTTACTGTTATATCCAATCGTATTATAATAGTTAGTGGAAATCGTTTACAAATTAAAAGATGGGATGATTCCTTCTTAAAAGAATACCTCGAGTTTAGTGAAGATATTGGAGAGTATAGTAGCTATTTCAGTGGAGGGGAAGTTTACAAAATAATAAAAAATATTTCGAAAAAATATGAAAAATATTCAAACGATTCAAGCGATACAGACGATTCAGGCGATATAGACGATCCAAACGGCAACTGTACATATTTAGGAAAGTTGTACTCCTGGACTGTTGAGCACTCTTTTGATTACTTAACATTAAAGGCGCGCGAAAACGAGAAGGAAGTAGGAAAAATAGACGTTAAGAAACATAAGAATGGATATTTTAGACATGAGAAAAATTGTCAGATAGAATTTCAACTTCTTAAAAGCGAAGATTTGATAATGATCTCATCATTTGGAATATATATCTGGACAGCAGCAAATGCCAATAATGGAATTAATTTACTTTATTTTTGGTTTGATATTGGTGCAACTCATTTCACTGAAGACAGTCGATATGCTCTGAGAATTCAACTTGAGATTCTCGAAAAAAAATTTAATTCCCAAAATGTGCTACCTTTGCCGTATTTCGGTGAAATTATTAGACATCAAGATCATGTTATATACAAACGTGATGAAGAAAATTATCAATGTAGAGATTTATTGGAGTACTATTTAAAGGACGAACAGATTGTAAAGTTATATGAAAAGGAGCTGATCCATGAATTAATTGACAAAGGCAGGCCTAAGCAAATTAGGGATCACTTCAAATATATACTTGATATATGTGTATCAAAGCTAGATAATGGAGATATTATCACATTTATTGAAATGATGAATATAATTAACTCTTCACTTCTAAACTTGGAGGCATACGACAAAAATTTTAGATTTATCGAACGTTTTTTGTCGAAAACTGTGTTATTAATTCCCGGTGACTTTGAAAGTTATGTAGAGGAATTTTCTGCGACGCGTCATCTTGAACATTGTGGAGGCTATATAAATTTAAATTTATCCACACTCTTTAATCGCATAATTTATTGGGTTTTCAATACAGATAACATCTTTTTTTTGTTAATATAAACTTTATTTCCTTCTTACAATAGAAAAACCATTAAATTTATGATACCTTTATTAAATTTCGCCACCTATCCGGAAGAATATTCATACAGCGAATTGATTTACGTCCCTGATAACCCGTTTACTTCACTTAATACTTCTGAATATTATAAGTGGCTTAATATTAAAGCTCTAGTCAAGTTTAAGTGGGACGTATATGGAAAGTATTATCACTTTCTCATATGGGCGATTTATTCATTATTTTTGCTTTCTTTTGCAATGGTATCAACAATACCTCATGATGAAATTTCATGGGAGAGTCAGAAAATTCTTTTGGTAATAACCATTATTCTCGGCTTTTTTCATTTTACTTTCGAATTTCGTCAATTTTTTCAAAACAAGAAACTCTATGTTAGAAGTATCTGGAATTTTTTTGGTATGTATACATCTATACAATTAAGCATTCATTTTTTTTATATATAAAATTTTATTTAACTTAATATTTTAGACCTTGCTGCGATATTATTACCAACAATGACTTCATTAAAATGGTTGCATGATGAAACGCCACCATCAATACGGGTTATCACCTTCTCGGTTCTTTTTCTTGAACTTAAATTCATACTCTTTCTCCGTCCTCTCAGCTACTTTGGAGCATATTTTGCAATTATTACCAGAGTAGCGATAAAGGTCTTTTCTTTTCTCGTTATTTTGGGTGCTACAATTTTGGTATTTTCCCATTCTTTGCATCTCTTATTAAGGCCCACCACCAAGTATTCTTACGATCAACCAAGCTATAATGACGATGAAAACAATCCCTGGAATCTTGTTGAAAGATATTTGTCTATTTCTTCTGAGGGTACTGTTGGAGGGCCATCTCTTATTGCAACACCAGATGAAAACACAAATTTATTCGCGGGATTTGATACTGCACTATTAGCAGTGTATTTTATGTTAACAGGTACCAAAATAAAGTAATTTAGTATTATGTCATGTAACACAGATATTGATTTATAACTTTGTTATTCTAGGAGACTCAAGTGCGGTATCTCCATGGATTCTGAAAAAAAATTGGACATTGGTGATCATATTAGTCGTGTTTTCATTTTTTACGACGATTTATTTATTGAATTTATTTATTGCATTACTTGGTGTGGCAACTAATGAAACAAATAATGAAGAAGAATTATTGTCCCTAAGAGGAGAGGTACTGTATTTTTGATATTATATTATAATTCTATATATGCTTGAGTAAATTATAATGGCCTAAAATTTATTATTAGATATTATCAGAGATCGAACTTTTTTGGATGTTACCCCACCAAAGAAGAAAGAAAAATTGGTTTCCAGAAATATTGTGATTATCCTTACACATTTTGACCAATGGTCGAGCGTTAGTGAAGATCATTGGGAAATGTACGAACGAACGAAGATATAGAATATTGATTGT